GAAATTTATCTTCTGCACCGAGCTAACAACAACAACAACATCAAAATGGTAATTTCAACGATTGAAAAAATTTTTTAAATTAAAAACGAGAAATGACCACCAACCAATCATCAATTAATGGTCAAAATGATTATTGATGATTGGAAAAGAAAAAATCAATCGAATAACAATGTAATTGTAATTTGAATTTCTAATCATTTCTAATCATTCGATTTACAGTCATTCAGTTGTTGTTGTTGGTCGTCGTCGTTTGTTCATGATGATGATGATTACCATCTTTCTGATCTTCTTCATTTAACCACTATCGATTCAAAATACCCAGAGGGAAAGTAAGAGAGAGAAACACACACACTTTTTTTTCTTCAACAAAAAAAAACAGTGATTTTGGAAGTTTTGTTTTGCTGGCTTTTCTTTTTCTTTTGTGTGACCACATATAAGGAAAACAACAACAATAAAAAACGTTTCTTTTGTTGTATAAATATACCCGGGTAACCCGATGGAAACAATGTGTTATTTTTTTCTTGCTTTCTCTTTTTGAAAATTTGAATAACCGAATGTCCGAATGTGCTTTATTGGATGGATTTTACTCTTTTTCATTTTCTCTTATTACCCGAAACACAATCAAAAATCCAAAAATCCAAAATCCAAAATCAAACAAAAAAACCAACAAACTAAATTTAGCACCGAATAAGGTAACTTAAGATTGTTATAATCTTTGTTCATTTTCAAAATGAAAAATCCATCAGTTAAAAAAGATTCTCTCTCTTCTCCCTTCTACCTTCTACTTTCGTCTGAAAGAAAAACACAATGGATTTTCTTTCAAAAGAAAGAAATCATATGTGTCACAAATGGAATTCGGTCATTGTTTTCTCTTTTTTTTTCGGGTAAAAGTTTTTGTTCAAACTTGTTTCAAGCCAATAATAATGGCATCAAGTCAAAATAATTGGGTAAACACAAAATGAATGAAATAAAGAAAAACGAAAGAAAGAAACGAAAGAAAAACGAATAAAGAAAATTTTCCAGTCGTCAAACAAGTTGTTTTGTTATCAGGATTTCATTTTTTTTGCACTTGCCAGTTACTTTTGTTCATCAATTTGTTCATTATGTGTAGATATGATGATGATGATGATTATGGATTTGATTGTTTGGCAGCAAACAAACAAACAAACAAGCAAAAAATAATGATTTTTTTTTACCTGTAAAAATCCATCATATTACACAATTTTTGGAAAGTAATCGATGAAAAAATTGATTGGGGAAATTTATCATCATTTTTTTTGTTGATGAAATTCTGTATATTCCTTTCTGTGTGTTTTGATTGATTGATTGATTGGTCGATTGATTGATTGATTGAAATCAATAAAGAAATCAGCAAAAGAAAAAATGACTTTTATCATCATATATAACGGTTGACAGCAACCTGTTGTTACCTGGGGTTACCCAACAAATCAAATTGAAGAGTAGAAATAGCTGGAAAAAAATCTTTTATTTATTTATTTAGACTTTTAAAGTTACAAAAAATATATGAATAAAAAGTACAAAAAAAATTTGAATAAAAATTTTGATAAATTTTCAAAAAGAAAAATAATAATTTTTCAATCAAAAAAAAAACAAAAAACCGGTAATGTGCAAAATTTCCAATTTCTCCAGCCAGCCATTCAGTCATTTTCATTCAAAATCGAAAGGATTACATTATTCATCATTGACCACCACCACCACCACCACGAATACGTATTGCTAAACGTAAATCTTTAGGCATTATCGTTACACGTTTAGCATGTATAGCTAATAGATTAGTATCATGTAATAAATTAATTAAATAACTTTCGGATGCTTCTTGTATTGCTTCAATAGCTGATTTTTGCATACGATATCTACCATTACCATATATATCATTTGTTAAACTTTGAATTAAACGTTGAAAATTTTGTTTCGGTATTGATAATTTATTTAATTTTTGATAATTACGTATTTCTCTTAAAGCCATTGTACCTGGTCGATAACGTTTTTGTTTTAATAATTCGGATTTTGTTTCAAAATCAATAACTGATCGTTCCAACAATTTTGATTTAGTTTTATTCTTTTTCGGTGTTGTTGTTGTTGATGATGATGATTTTGTTTTCTTTTTTTCCATCTTTGAATTCTGTTTACGAATAGTAATTTGTATTGAATAATGTTTTGGTGCTTGTTTTATTCGTGACATTTTTTTTTCTTTTGTTGGTGGGGGGAGTTCCTGTTTAAAAAAAAAGATTAAATTTCACTTATTAATTGAAAGTTTTTTTTTGTTTTTTGGTTCAAGAATTACAACTCACAAATATTTTATTTGTCCGCAATTGTTATTGATGCTGGTCACCGAGTTTTTGAGTAATAAAGAAAATTGAAACAACAAAAAAAAAATTAAATTAACATTGATGATGATGGGAAAAAAAACTACGCACGTGTCAGCCATTTTTTTTCTATTAAAATCATTATGCCTCTACCACACAATGGATGCGGATGGTATAAATGTTATGCAAAAAAAAGAAAAGTTATGCAAACACACAAAACCGCGGTTACTTGCAATGTATGAACTGCAATGGCTCAAAGTTTTTTCGCGAATAAAAACAAAAATCATTAACACAATTCGGCTATTCGAAATTCGAATTTTCGTTGATCGGAAAAATATTGATTGTTTTTTTGATTTGGCTAAACGATTTTGTTTTTAGCTAAACGATTTTGACGAATTTCTAAAATAAATAAAATGAATTATTAAGTTTAGAGATTATCAATGTCAATCATGTCAATCACTTACATTTCAAATTTTTGACTAGAATCGGATATCCTTTAGAAAAAGGATCTTTTTTTGTTGTTGTTGTTGTTGATGTTTTCGATATCACATCTGATGAACGATAAAAAGATAAAGATTTCCTCACTTTTTTCACTTGAAAATCTTGTTTTGATCACATAATTTTGATAGCAACAGATTTTCTTCTTTTTTTTGGAAATTTATTTACAAAAGAATTATTATTATTATTTACAAACATCCTACACACACATATGAAAAAATGAAGAAATTTTTCTTCTGTTTTGGATGTTCAAGAAAACTGAAACGAAAACGGAAAAAAAACCGAATGATAATATCATCAACAAAACAAATTCAATGAATGGATTATGCGCTTGGAATTTTTTTCATTCAGATTACCAAATTTCGAATTTATCTTCTACGCATGCTCATTTCGAATGGAAAAAGAATTCGAACGAATTTCGAACGAATTTTTCTTCTTCTCTCGCAATTTCATTATTATTATTATTATCATTATTCTTTTCATAGTGTATCATCGTCCTGATGTTTCTTTTCTTCTTTTTGTTTTTTGAAAAAATCTTTCACTTTTTTTTTGGTTTTGATAATCTTCATTTCATCTCTCTCTCTACGTTTTATGTGTTTTGTTTTGACTGTAGTGTTTTCATTTTATGAATCAACCGTGTAAGCAAAATTTATCAAAATTCTTTTTCCTGATAACAAAAGAATGAAAAAAAAGAAAAAATTCTTTGTTTATATCAAGAATCAAAATCAAGATAGATGAATGTGCGGGAAACTTTCCCTGTTTTTTTTTTGGTTCAATTTTTCAATTACATTTTCATTCGCGAATCTTTTTTTTCATATTTCTGCATTTTTTTCCACCAGTGAAACAACACACACACAAATCATTTATTGACAGGTATTTTTTTCCATCAGGAATATTATTGGAAGGAAAACAAAAACCACATTTCACAATAATAATAATGATGATACTTTGTTTTCGAATTGAATGATAAATTCTGTGGATTTTTTTTTAAAGAGATCAAACAAAACCCAACGATCCATCGTTTTGAAAATTCTTGAAATTCTTGAAAATTCTCATTTTTTTTCTCTGTCTCCATTTCTCCATTTCGAATGAAAAGAACACAAAGAAAAAAGTAACAAGAAAAATTTTCATCAAAGTTTTTCATCAAATTTTCATCAAACAAGTTTTATTTAATCAAAATTTATTCGAGTTTTTGCCACCATTATGATCAATATTTCTTCATATATTTTTGAATTATGCAAAGTTGTTGCTAACACAACCAAAACAACAACAACAAAAATCTCACCTTTATATTTTTTTTAAATCAATCATTTTGTCAGACGAGGAAAGAATAAAAGAATATTCTCATTGCCAGAATTTCATTTTTGGCTTCACAAAATCCTTTTCATTTTGTTTAAAATGCAGTAAGTTTTTTTCCATATTCAAATTTTTGTTTTTCCATTTAAATCAAATGAACAACAACAACAAAAACGATCATTTAGCAGAATTTGAAATACATAAAAAAAGCATCTCAACAACCCTTTTTTTTTGATTTGAAAATTTATATAAAGTGTTTGTTTGTTTGTTTGTCTGTGTGTGGGTTTAATGTTTTCACATAAAAAGTTTTTTCGTTTTCTCTCGTTTACTCTCTCTTGATGCAAAATTCTATAAGCTTTTTTCTCTGTTCATCGATTGATTTTTGACTATAAAATTTCAATTTTCCAGCAAAAATATGATTATTATTCTGTTTAGATTCTATAATGGATTTTTGTTTTTATCATCATCATTTTTTTTCACTGGAAAAAAAACAAAATTCTCGGTAAGTGTTTTTGCTATCTGTAATACTACTCTTTATTCGTTTGTTTTGATCCAACAACAACTAAATAAAGTTTCCATTACCCACCATTAATGTATTTTTTTCTTCTTTCATCAACCCAAATTTGATTGAATAAAATGTATGATTTAAAAAAAAATCAGATTGACAGACTAACTGTGATTCTGATTGAATTATTTACTGTATGTCTGTGTGTGTGTGTCCAATTTGGTAGAAAACGAAATGCATTTTTTTCCCAAACAATTTTTTAAAATTTTTCAAATTCTTGAAATATCCGGCTTGTTTCAAAATTTTTTTGTTGAAAAGTGAAGAAGAAGAAGAATTTCATCTTTGATCTTGAAATACACACAAAAAAATGATAATCTTTTTTTATGAAATTTGATTTTAGGCAGCTGTTATCAATTGTTGTTGTTGTTGTTGTTCAGCACATATCATTTTCAAAATGAATGGCTTTCCTGTTTTTCATTTCATATTTATTTCATTTTTTTATCGATCAATAAAATCTCGAGAAAAAAAAGTATTGCAATTGATTGAGAGATTGAACAAGTGAGAAATCCAAAAAATCATCAACCCAAATATCATTGTATGCAATTCATTATCTCTCTATTCCTTTCTTCCATATAATCATTATATGAATTGTCCGTTTGGCAAAATGAATGTTCCGGATGTTTATTTCATTTTTCTTTTTTTCACCCCCGGCCTCTTGCCAGAATCACCACCATCACTATTATCATAAAGATTTTATCCAATAACACATTTGTGACACAATTGATCGCCATACACGTTCCAGAAAAACAGAATTTTTTTCCTATTTCTTATTTCGGATATAAACCAAAATTTATCATCCAAAACAATAATAGAAAAAAAGAATGCATTCAATTTTGACAAACGAAAAAAACATCTTAACATCTTAAAAGTATCAAATTATGACACTATTATGAAAACAATTGAATTGAATTGAATCGAATGTCAAATAATACAAATCAAATCAAATTGAATTGAATGAATATAATCACAATTGGTTATTTGAAGCCAAGAAAAATGATGAAGAAAAATGTGTTTTTCCTTCATTCATTCATTCATTGTTTTGCTTAGCCAAACACATTTTGTTTGACAATTTCTTTCGGTTAAAATTCTCAAGAAACTTTTATCATTTTTTTCGTATTGTCATAGAATTTCCAATCGGTTTTTTCCCAAAAATAATCTTTCAAGATCAAGAAAAACTTTTTGAAATCAAACAAGAAAATTTTTTTATTTTTAATGTGGCTGATTTTGACATGATCAAGAGCAAAAACCAACCACAAGAACATTTTCAATGGACAACAATATTTCTCTCCTCCTCAGCCACCACCATCATTTATTATTTACTTATGGCCGAATATCTTCTCAACCTAGTCTATGATGGTCAATGATAATGATAATGATGATGATCGAAGAAAAATTGAATATGACAACACCCATTAGGCTAAATGTATATATGTCTGTCTGCTTGTGACGGTATTTTGATACGAGAAAAAATTCCTATAGAAATTTGAACCCATCCTATCCAAATGATAATAATAAGAATTTTTCTTTCGACCAGAAGAAGAAGTTTTTATTCTTTGAAAATGATGACGATGATTATAATGAATTCATTTGAGATAAGAAGAATATTTTTCCCTTTTCTTTTCTTTCACTTCCCCCCGTCAAAAACCGAAAATTACCATTATACAATCATTATGTAAAAGGAAAAAAGCAAAAGAAAGTTTTTTTTTTCTTTCAATAATAATCTCTCAATCGAAAACTAAATTAATGAAAAAAATTTTCATCATTTTCTCTATAGCCAATTTCCCCATTTTTTTTGGGTGCAACTGCCGTTAAATTTTTTTAAAAAATAGCAATGAAAAGAAGTTGAAAACACACAAAACACTGAAGATAAAGTCATAGGAGAAAAAATGTGAATTTTTTTCGTTTTTCTGGTTGAAAATAAATAATTCTTGTTGATTCTGGGCGAAGAAAAAGAATTTTTCCTGTTAGACCTGAGTTTTTGTTTTTGTTTTTCCACTGCTGAAATATCAATTTGAATAAACATAAAGTAATTTACGAGTTTTATTTGTAATTTTTTTTTGCCTTTTTTTCACTGTTTGTTTTAAATTAGCTTTTGTTTGTCGGATTTTTTCATAATGAAATTTTATTTTAGTTAAATGATAATGATTCTCGGTGGAAAAAAATAAACATCATTTAACCCTAATGATTCCGGTTTTTTAGTTTTAATAATTTTAAATCACAGAATCTGATGATTGAGAGAACCAAGAAAAAAAAATACCTTCTAATTTTGCCAATTCCAAGCTTGAAGAATCTTTTTCTCAACCAGTAAAAGCAATTTTGTCTTNTAACTAACTTACTTTAACAAAAAAAACATGTTTAAAAGAATCAATGGTTACACAGAAAAAAAAGTAAGGTTAGTACTAACCCGAATAGGTTAGTATTTTGGGTTATTACTAACCCAAAA